AATCCAGGTAGCATCCTCATTGAGTATTGAGAATATATGGAATTCATTAAAAAAAAAAAAAGTGCAAGTTACCGTGAGAAGGAGAAATAGGAACAAAAAGGTTTCTTAGACATCAAAAACATTCCAGAAATTAAAAATATAAAGAATAAAAACTCACTAAAATAATACTATTTTTTCTTTGTGCCTGTACCTACATGGTCATATTTCCTATAATGGAAATGGGTTCTTTTTTAGAGTTAAGGCATTTCAATAAAGGTTATTAAAAGATTTAAAGTCTTGGGTTTCATTTCTTTCCCATTTTACTTTTTAAAATTTATTTTTTTACATATGGTTTTAGTATTTCTGTAATTTAGCTTTTGATTGAAAAACTCTTATCAACTGGCAAAAGTTATTTTAATAATCAGTTAAAATTTTAGTCATGGTAAAACACTGTAAGCTACAACCCCCAAATTGGTCTATGTATCAACATGCTAAAAATAAAAACAATGTATAAAAATGTCTTTTTCTGACTCCAAATTCAATTGCCCTTTATGTTTCTTTAGCTGAGTTTTCAGGAAACAATAGTGTTCTGGATCTAGATGCTGCAAACATTAAGAAATCTTCAGGGCCAGGAAGTATTGTGGGTATTCCATAATTTAATATATAGAATGAAACAACACTCTTGATGTATTTGCTATTTTGAAAGCAAAGGAAATTTGATTCTGACCAAGAAACCACTGCCAAAGAAATATGGTTTAAGCAGCAGGTGCATTTTTCACTTTTGGGAATAAGATAAGCTAAAAAATAAAAAAGACTAGAGCTCCCATCTTACACAATTTTACTTATAACCTAAAAACAACCATTCTTAATATTTTTTTCTTTGCCAATTTTAAAGCAAGTAGAATGAAATCCAAGATGAAAAATTGCAGGATAATAGGAAAGACAGTGAAGTGAATACTCTGTTGGGAATTGCAGATAATACAAAGATGACAGAAAATGACAGGAAGGGATGGAGGGGGTTGGCCTGGAAGTTGAACATGAATCTATAACGTAGTCCTGTTTCTATGACAGAAAATACTGTGTGAGGATAAATGAAGGTATAGAAGTGGAAACCGAAGGTTCTTTGTTCAGGCTATATGCCGTATTTTAAAACACTATTTTCACTTATTTAATGGAGGACCAAGACCTTTGGGGCTCTAAAAAGACCAACATAATGAAGGTACATAAAACAACTTACTGCCTCAAACCCTAATTAGAATAAGCTAAGGGTGTAAGGAGCAAAAGCAAATAATCAAGAAATATAAAAATAATTGTATTTATTTGATATGAAAAAAGAAGGAAAGCTAATTCATTAACCACAGTGCAAACATATGGAAGGGCCTATAGCTTGAGATGGGAGCCAGGATTTCCCCACCATGAGAAGAACTAGAGGATAGGGACTAAACTGTAGCAGGGCAGATCCAGGTGTGAAAAAGTCACTTCCTTGTGTGCTGTCATGTTATTAGATAGTGGCGTGTGTGTCAGAGAGAGATTATGTAAACTGTAGCAGGGCAGATCCAGGTGCAAAAAGTCACCTCCTATATGTGTGCTCTTATGTTAGTAGATAGTGACGTGGGTATCAGAGGGAGATTATGGAATTTTGTAAAGGGTCAGGGGACAGAAGAGATGAAGTGGGGTGGGGAGGGGAAAAGACAGTAGAAGCAGAGAGTTATTGATGTCCGTATTTGTTTGGGATAGTTTCTTTCAAAAAACCAATCCCTCAAATAAGGGACTGCGCCAGTTTTTAGTGAAGAATCCGGACACACAGGACTAGCTTCTTAGGAAGCCGGCTCTCTGGGGGTGGTTCAGAGAAGGATGAAGGTGTGTTCTTGGTGTGAGGTCATGTGTGTGCAGATCTGAGTGTCAAATTCCCGCTGGAGCTGAGAGAGCAGAGGCAGAGGAGTGCAGAGTAAAGAAGAGATGACTGTGGTGAAGATCAAGAGCAGGTCTGCAAGCAAAGTGGAGTGAGGCCTGCAGCTGCAGGGCCTAGAGGGCCATCCACACCAGCACATGGGGGGCCTGGGCCCACTGTTTCCTGTAGTGTGGACAGGGACTGTCGTGTTCACCGTAGCATGACAGAACAAAGGACTGACAACGGTGGAGTAAATGCATGAATGAATAAACAGAAGGGGCTTCTGCTTTCCCTGTCTAGCATGATTGTCCAATAGAGATACAATGAGAAATGCAAACGCAAGACACACATGTAATTTAAAATTTTATAGTAGCCACATTAAAAAAAAAAGAAACAAGTGAAATTAATTTTAGTAATACATTTATTTAACCCAACACATCCAAAAATTATCATGTCAATATGTAATTAACATAAAAGTTATTAATGAGATGTTTTAAATTATTTTTTTCATACTTAAATTCTAGCATAAATTTTACAATGACATCACATCTCAGTTCAGACTAGCCACAATCCAAGTTTTCAAAACCTCATGTGTTAGGGGCTACCGTATTGGACAGTGCAGCCCTTTAGTCTACCTGTATTTGTATTTTAATTTTTATAAGTGTATTGGCTCAAAATGAAATTATGTTCTTTCTAACATAAGCTAGATAGCACAGTCCCTCATTATATAAAGTGACTATCTATATTTCTGTATTTAACTATTTGAAAGTTCTTAATAATAGTTTTATACATAAAACTAACAGCTTTCCCAATCATGAATTATTGCAAAATTCTAGTTTACAAAAATGAGTATACATTTGTGCTTCAACTGATTGAATTTCAAGGGAACAAAGAAAGAAAGTCCCATTACTGAGCCTGAAAGGGCCTTGCCCGGCAGGATTCTCTAATCCAATCCAGCAAGTCTCCTCCTTGCTCACATATTTCAAGATAGTTCCAAAAATAATGTTTTGCTTCTGCTAATTTTGTGTTCTATCTC